CTGAACCAACTTGCTGCCTAATTCTGCGAGCACAATCTTCAAAACTTTTGACAAAACCAGCGCATTTCAGAGGGTTGTTGGCATGCTCCTTGTAGCAAGCCAAGCAAGCATCCTTCTCCGTTAAGCAGGGCATAGGCTTCTGGAATGGAAGCTTGAACTCCTTATCACGAAGTTCCTTTGCTCTTTGTGTCACTTCCTGCACCATATTCTCCTCCTGCTTCTGCAACCGCTCCAGAACCTTGCTGCTCTCTTGAAGAACAGATCTGATAGCATCTAACTCCGCATAGGTAGATTGTGAAGGAGGGGTTACAGGCACGAATATAGGAGGCTGAAGAGGCCATCCTTTAGCACCTGTCCCCTTGAGTGTTTCAGAATCATCAGAAACCTGTTTCTGGTTTGTCTTCGTTTGGGGCTGTTGAGGTTCTCGTGGTACCTTAATTTTAGTTCTTCTGGGTTTTCTCTTTGACTTCTCAGCATCATGAACAAGCTTATCAACCAGATTGGAGCTAATCTGAATGCTAAAATCACCCATGGTGGAACAGGTCCCTGGTAAGATACCTCAAAGGCTGGAAACATTGATGCAAGTGTACTCGATTAGAACCAAAACCATAATTGCTACATGTTTTGGATAAGCAATGACTGAATCAGTTTTTAGAACAGGAGAACAATGAAACAAATATACCTCAAAATGACAGTCAAAATGAAAGGCAAAAAATGTAAAACATAGCAACCAAAATTAAGAACTTAAATAAATTTACACACTTTGGCCTTAGGCCCAAAATCATGTGTGAAGATAGCAAGAGATTTGACTAAGTGGGTATCAGCAAATTAGAAAACAATAGAACTCTCGCATTCTTGAAATTTTAAATTTGAAATACCACTTAATACTGAAAGACTGGTTTTGGATCTTATACATCCCGGTTGGGTCAGACAGCTGAGTGATTTCATCAGTCCAATTGTTTCAAAGATACACAAATCACTAAACTTTTTATAACATTTTATTTCCCTTCACTTCATGCATGCTAGAGGAGGTGTCAGCAGGAGATTAGTAGTAGTAATTGAAGATCCTCGGCCCCATATATTGGACAAACTTAAAAAGCCACATGCGCATGCAAATTATTATCACACAACAAATAAAATTATTTTTACCTATATGCATGACAAATGTCGAAATTCAAAATTCAATGTAAAATTAAGAAACGGAAACTATTCAACAGGGTAAAATAAGAATTCAGCTACTGGATTTTAATGGTTATAGCTTCAATAGTCTGGCAGATGCATTATGATACATAAAATAGAATTCCTTTGAGTTTTAGAAAAATGGATCCCATCTCCCAAAGCTGTAACAAAGTCTATGTTAGGGGCTCAAAACTACAGTCCATGTATTCACACACCATCCAGCAGCCAAGGTTCACAGATACTGCTTATTGCAGATACACAGATTACGTAGTACATTCCCCTGCTAAAATTTGAAAAATTCTTTTATCTAAATATCTTATTTATGCATAGAAGATGTTCAAACTCAAGTTCTGATAACATTAGACTAATTCAAGGGTGTAAATCAACATAAAGTTAAGAATGTAAAGGGAACTTTTCACAAGAATTATATACCTTATCCACCACCACATGTAAAGACAGCAAGTTTTCGAAAATAAAGGGAAAAATAGAATATCATAACAGTAGAATACCAGAATTTATAAGTGGAAGCGAAACAAGGTAAACCAAAATACAAATAACACAAGCAGAATAAACAATTTGTTAACTTCTTTCTTTCTTTTCACATCTTGAAGATGAAAAATTACCAACTAAAAGAGTAAAAGCATGGGCAAATAAATCTATGACAAGTGTCATAGTTACACTTGACGAGTACTAACATGTAAACACAGAGACCAACATAGCAATAACGACCAAATCTTAAGAATTGAACTTTCCATTGCAATCTTTGTTGGAGCACTTATTAATCACTGAACAATATGCAACGAACAGTTGAAAAACTCGGGAAGCAAACCACGTCTGAATTAAGGTGGACCCTATAACTTTTGTTCAACTGAATTCAAGTCGCATCACTATGCCTTCTGTTAAAATCCGTCTCTGTATTGCCTCAATCAGGATAGTAGCAGTCTAAATTCACCTGTTTCCTATGAGAATTATGATTTATATAACCACAAATACCAATATGGCTGTAAAGGACTCATCATCAGATGGCTCATCTGTCACATAGTATGGAGGTGCACAGGCTTATCATAAGCCTGATAGATAGGAGATTATAGTTCCCAGTCTGCTAGAGTCTAATCTCTCTCATTACCAGAATCTGTATAGTCTGTTTTGATTGGTTAAGCTCTTGTAGAGCTGTATAAATACAGATTGTAATGATTATTCAATCATAATGAGAATTACTCTTCATTTTTTTTTCATCTTTCTCTTCATGGTATCATATCAGGAGTCTGAAGTCTCACGACGATTTCAGCTCTGAGTTTTCTCAGCTCTTCTTGCATTTTCTTGCATTTTTAGACCATGGGGTCATGGTGTAAAAGTTCCAAAATATATATATATATAGATTTTTTAACGAAAATAACATTGAAAAATTAAACGATGGCACTTTCATTCCTAATCAACTAATCAAAACACCAAACCCTAATCAATTAAGATAAATATTAAAAATAAAACCATAATTAATGAAAATACTATCAATAAATCAAACCAAGTTCAGTAGACCATGATTTCAATTTCAATTGAATTAAAAACTTCATATATTATCATCAATTGGCGATTATGGTTTAAAATTTATTTGAAAATCGATATTTTAGCAATGTTGAGTAGCGGCACTAACAAATCAAATCATTATATATATATATATATATTCATCCAATCCAATAAATCATTATCCAAACACAAAATCAACAATATTCATGTGATAACTCATTATAACTTTCACTAAATTCAGCACATTATGCATTATCATCAATTAGGGCTTTAGAGTTCAAAAATTACTTGAATATGAGCTTTTTCCCACTAATACGCGCGGCAAAGGCGGAGGCAGCAGTGGTTGGAAGCGACGGCAGCAGCTGGAGTCGGCGGCAACAACTGGGGGTACATGGGGTTGGGTTTGTTGACGAGGAGGAAGAAATGTCGATTTGGGGGTGAGTCGGGCTGGGCTAGTAAAAAGAGCTTGGGGGGTTTTATTTATTTATTTAAGACCTGGCATGAAACGACGTCGTTTCATCCAGGTCATTTGCTGTCTCGGCCAGGCTATTTGGACTTTCTGTCAAACAGGCTGTGGGCGTGCAAGGGTCGCACACCAGCCAGCGATAGGTCGGCGAAGGAGCTTACCAGGCCTCTATGGATCGTCCGACCCTTTTATGCCCCTTAATGGATCCGCCAATGGAACAAAACTGCTCTAAAGGCTCTTTGGGCCAGACTTTGTCTTGCTCAATATGGGCATCAGTGTGAAGCAACAGAGTTAAAAAGTGTAGGCTGTTGATCTGGTTCGGATTAGGTGAGAACGCTTATGTGAGAACCTTATATGAGAATCTGTTTGGGCCAAAAATTGACACATCCAATCCAAGGCCCATCAGAACAAAGCAAGGCTGATTTGGGCCTCACAGGCCCAACATAATAGGAAGAGGGAGTCCAAACCAGAAGAGGGAACAATCCCACATGGCAACCTCTGGGATAAAAAGTCAGCAATGGCGGAAGTCAGCAGGGATAAAAAGTCAGCAAAGGCAGCCTCTGGGATGAAAAAGTCAGCAATGGCAACTGCCATAGAAGAAGTGATTGAAGGGTTCGTGACATCAAGAAGAACTGAAGATTAAATCCCCCTTATATATGTATATTCAGAGATTTTTTCTGTCTTTACAGAGAAGGTAATTCTCCCAAGATAGATAAGCAAGTTACAATCTCAGAGAGGGATAAGCAGGAAAGCAGGGAGCTGTCCAGAAAAAGAATCAAACTAACCATCACGGGTAAAATATCACAAGGGGCAGCTGAAAAACAGGGAAGTGATCGCCTATTCAAGAACCTATCTGCCAAAATTGAAGAAGAAGAGGAAAAGGGGGGAAAATATCTTTGCCGCCCAATAAAAAACACAATCACCCTACTCCAGAGAAGAAACAGTTTTT